AGTAAGTATTATTTAATTGCATAACACTTTATTTATGACTTAAATGTATTATAAAATGCTAATCTATTTTTTTTTGTTCAGTTATAAAAACTTAGTGAGACTTAATTTGATCAAAGAGATAATTTTCCCTGGTGAGAATAACAATATTATTTGTTCAACTATAGAATCGGAATTTAGTTTGTTACAAAAAGACCAATGGTGTTTTTATAAGCCTGCTGGCTCAGATCTTTATCCAATTCAACGAGGAAACTCTGGATATGTTTTGCAAATAATTAAAAAGTATGTAAAATTTTGATTACCTAAAAAATAGATAAATAGATTTGCAAAATTTTGATACGAAATTTATTTTTAAAATTTTTTTATTTTTAATTTTCTATATTTTTATTAAAATTTTAGAGTAGCAGGGAGTAATAAAAAGTTATATATTGGACCAACTGATAAGCCACTTGATATAAAATTTTTATTAGATCAACAAATACTTGAATCAACAAATAGTGATTTATCTTTTTCTAACAACAATGCACTTTTTAACATTTCTCCAGAAAATTATCATGTGGACCATACAAGCACATTATTTGATTCATCTCCAGAGTATTTAAATTATAGTTTTGATAACCTTTATGATAAAAAATATAAATTGAATGACAGAAAAATTAACATCGATATTGGATCCAGTGAAACAATACTTAAAGATCTAATTAAATGGATTAGTAATGCAAACGATGAGGCATTACTATTAAAACCAACAATTAGGTTCATAACTGAACGGTAATTTATTATTACTATGTTGTATCAAAATTCAATTACTTCTGAACACTGATTATTATTAATTTCATAATACATGCAATTTAAAATTTTATTTATATTTTATATTTTATATTTTAGAGCAATAGATTCAGGAGGTGTGTATAGAGATGTAGTGCACACATTTTGGAAACAGTTTTCTTCAATGTTTTGGAAGAAATTTATAAATGTGGCCATTATTTGAAGATTCACATAACTCTAATTTTTTGATAATGTCACACAATACTGTCATGTTAGATTATCATGAAATGTATCGAATTTTTGGAATTGCTCTTTCTTGGGCACTTATTAATGGTGATCCATATCCACATTATATTCATCCATTTCACTTAAAATATTGTTTTGGAAAAGAGATTGAATTCAAGGATATATATAGTATCTGAAATGTTTCCAATTGTTGACAAATTGGTTAAATTGATAATTAATTCCCCTCCTCAATGCTCCTATTAAATGTTCATGTGTTATTCTGACACTTCTACTCTTCAAAGCACTCCATTAGTATATTTTGACCTGAATATGGTTGTGACTCTTTTATATTCAAAATAATTTGATCTGATTCATTGTTTGAAATTTCACTATATGAAAGAATATTTAAAATATTTAGATCATGTCATCTTCTATATAATGTTGTAATTCTTGTTCCAAAGATATTGGCAATATCAACCAAAGAGAATCCTTCTGAACATAATAAAATTATTGCATTTTCAGAAACTTCTAATTTTGGTCTACCGCCTGATAGTTGTGGACTTACAAAAAGCATTTCAGGGCCAATTTGGTCAGTTAATAGAAATATTTTATTATTTAATTGTTCATATGTTTGCTGCGATAAATTAAAATTCTGAATTAAAATTTTGATAATGAATGCTACTTTCAGTCACATTATAAATTAAATGGGACAGCAAACTTATAGTTCTTTAATGATTAATCAATTGATTTTGTAAATAATCTGAATCATCTGATTGAATCAAGGCACTATTTGCTCTTGTTAAAGTAGTCTGAGCATGTTAAATTACTTGGTTTTGTATTTGAGAACTATTCATTTTAATTAAATTTAAACAAATCAAAAAATATTTTAACCAACTTCTTGAAATTTTATTTCTGGCATATCATAATCTTCATCTACTAAAGATGAATCTAATATCTTATTATTACTGCTACTGCTACTATCACTATTATTG